AACAAAAAAAATGTAAAATATTAGGGAGGATAAAACCCCAACACAAATGAAAAAAAGGTTTTTTTATATGAGTTTATATATTTTTTAAAAAATATTTTAAAAATTTTTATTTTAATTTTTAAGGGGGGGGGGGGCTATTTTCCCACATTTAGAAATTTTTCCTCAAAGGGTCCACCCCATCAATTTTTCCCCCCCCCGTAATACAATTTTAAAGGGGGGAATTTTAAATGTGGGGTTGGGGGGTTCCCCTTTAAAAATTAAAAAAACATTTAATAAATTTCCGGTTTTAAATTTTAGGGTTGGGGAGCAAAAACCAAAAAAAAAAAAAACAAAAAAAAAAACAAAAAAATTTAAAACACATTACAAATTTCAAAAACATATTTTAAATTTTTCTGAAAACCCTTTAAAATAAAAAATATTAAGATATAATACTATAAAAATTTTACAATAATTATGGTTTGGGTTTTTATTAAAAATTTTGAAAATTACATTTTTTTCGTAAGTTTTATAAATAAAGCTTTTCATGCCATGCCCTTTTTCCAAAAATTAAAAAAAGGGCCTTTTTTGGGGGAATTTTTTTTTTTAAAATTAAACCCTCCCAATAGTAAAAAAAAATTTTAGGGGGAAAGGCCCAAATTTGGGGTTTTTTTTCCTTTAGAAAAAACCTTAAAAAAAATTTTTATACTGGATAATGGGTTATAAAAAAACAAATTTTCTTTTTTTCTTTACTTAAATTTTAAAAAATTTTTACAAAAAATTGGAAAAAAAAAAGTACAAATTTATAAAAAAAAAAAAAAATTTTTTTTTTAAAAAAAATACCAAATTTTTTGCTTTCAAAAAGGGGATAAAAATTTGGGAATTTTAATTTTTTATATTTTTTTTTTTTTTTTGTATGTGGGGAAAAAAAAAAAAGGGGCCCCGGGAAAAAAAAAAAAATAAAAAGGGAAGGGGGGGGGAAAGGGGTGATAATCCCCAAAAAATTCAAAATTTACCCCAAACCTTTAAACCCCCAGGTACCTTAAGGGGAAACCTTAAACCCCGAACAACACTAAAATCCAAAAAAATGTATTTTTCAAGGGGAAAAAATTTCCCCCTAAATTTTTATTTTTTTTCCAAAAAAGGAAAAACCCGTTTTTGGTATCAACAAAAAGGGGAAAAATTTTGCCAAAAAAAAAAGATATTTTTTAAATTTTTACCAAAAAAACAAAAAAAAAGTTTAATTTTTAAAAATTTTTCCCCCCAAATTTATTTTTTTCCTTTAAAAAAAAAAACACCAGTAAAAATTTTACAAAATTTTTTTAAAATTTTTTTTTTAGGGGAAATTTTAAAAAAAGTCCAAAAATCTTAAAGGGGTGGAATTTTGGGTTTTTAAAAACCCAATTAAATTTTTATGTTTACCCTTTGATATAGTATAATTTTTTAATTTTTTAATTGGTTTTTTGGTTTTTTGCGAAACAAACTATTTTTGTAGAATTTTATATAAAAAAAAATTGTTTTACAGGGGTTTTGAAAAAAAAATTTTTATTTTCAATTTTTTTTTTCTGGGGGCTGGGTCTCCCCCATAGTAATTTCCCCGGTCACATATTTTACGGAATACGCCCCAAACCGGGAAGAGCCCCCGGAAATTTTTTCCCCGGCCCTCGGGCCGTTTTGCTACCCGTAAATGGGCAAATTAAGGGTTCCCCCCGGTTTTTTTAAACCCCTAAAACAATTTGTAGGAAGGGCCCTTTTTATATTTCCCTAAACGATTTTTCCTTGGAAAAAATTTTTTTGGGGAAAATTTTCCCCCAAAAAATTTTTTCTACGGAAAAATCAAAAACCCTTTTTGCGTGTTTTCCCTTTTTTTAGTCCGTATTAAAAACCCCTTAAAATAATGGGGTTTTCTGGGGGGCCGTACAAAAAAAGAGCTTTTTTCCGTTTAAAAAGGGGGCGCTCGGGGCCTTTTTTTTTTTTGCTTTTCCAATAAAAAAAAAGGGGTTTTTGGCCCCAAAAAAAATTTTTAAAAAAAAAACAAAAAACCCAAAAAAATCCTTTGTATTTTTTTAAATGAACAATGGGGGCCCAATTTTAAACATTTAAAAATATTTAGTGGAAGGGAAATTTTTTTTATTTTTGACCCTAATTTTTTGGGAAAAATGAACAAAATGGGTAGGGGAAAGGGGAAATTTTTTTTGGGTTTTTTTTAAATTTTTTTAAATGGTTTTGGGGCCCAATTAAAAAACAAAAAAAATTGACAGTTTTAAGGGGGGCCCTAATTTTAAATTTTAAAAACTTTGACAGAAAAAAAACCCCTTCCCCCCCGGGAAAATTTTTTGGGAACCAATTTTATTTTTAAAACAAAGGGATTTTCCAACTTTTTTTAATTTTAAAATTTTTCAAAAAAAAAGGTTTTAGTCAAAAAAATGGGGGCTGGTACTAAAAAACTTAACCCCAAAAAATTTTAAATTTGAAAAAAAGGCCTTTTAAATTTTTTAAAAAAAAAATCCTTTGGGCAGGGGGTTACCCTTTTTCCCTTGGGGTTAACCCGGGTGGGGGGGAAAATTTTTGTGAAAATTTGCTTAAAAGTTTTAAAAGGGAAATCTCAAAGGTGTTTTAAGGGGAAAAAAAGGTTTTGGGTTTTACCCAAATTCAATGTTTTTTTTTTTCTAAATTTAAAAAAGGGGGAAAAATTTTCTGTCAAAAAAAAAACCGGGGGGGCCCCGGGGGTTAAAGGGCCTTTTTTTGGTTTTGTTGGAAAAGGGAAAGGTCCGGGGGAATTTGGAAAAAAAACCAATTTCAAAAGGTCGTTTTCCCAAAAAACAAAAACCTCCCCCAAAGGTTTTTTAAAAAAATTTTTTTTAAAAGTGGAAAAAAGGGGGTGGGTTTAACCAAAAAAAAAAATTTTAACCCCCAAAGGGGTCAATACCACTTTCAAAGTCAAAAAAAGGGCCATTAATTTTTTTCAAAAAAAACCCCTTGGGCCGGAAAATTAATTTTTACTCTTTTTGTATGGGGGGGGTTTTTTTGAAAGGTGGGAACCCAAAAAGGTAGGTTTTAAAAAATTTTTTCAAAAAAGGCCATTTCCCTTTTAAAATTTTCTTTGAAATAAAAATGGGGGTGGTTTTTCGAAAAAACGTTAAAACCAAAAATTTGGGGGGACGGGCCCAAAGCCGACCCCTAAAAAGGCCCCAAAGCCGGGGGGCGAAATTTGGTTTAAAAGGACCACCCCTTTTTTTCAATAGGGTTTTTGGAAAAAAAGTTTTGAAAAAAGGCTTTTTTAAAAAAAACCCTTTTTTAGGGGGCCTAAATCATTTCCCCCCAGTTTCCCCCAACTTGTCCCAAAGGGTTTTCCCCCGGTTTTGGGAAAGGAGAAAAAATACGTTTTTTTGTACGGTTTTTCCCCACGTATTTAAACTACGGTTTTTTTTAAATTAAAGGGGGTTTTTCGGGCCAAAATTTTTTTCACGGGAAAAACCCCCGATCGTAATAAAGTTGTTTCTTTCGGGGGGAAAGGGAAAAGGGGGTTTGGGGACCAAAATCCCTTAATTTTCCGGGGTTTAAATTTCGTTGCAAAAAAACGGAAAAAAGGTTTCGGGAAAAAGGGACGGTCCAAAACCCCTGGGTTTTGTACGGAAAGGGAAATTTTAAATTTTTATGTTTTTCTTTTTTTCCCCAAAAATATTTAATTAAAATACCCCTTTTTTGTTAAAAAAAAAAAAACCCTATTTTTCGGGAACAATTAAAAATAAATTTTATAATTGCCATTTTTTCTGGCTGCAAAAATTTTTTTTAAAATTTAAAAAAGGCTAAAAAAATGCGGGGGCCCGTGGTTCCCAGGCTGCTTGGAAAGGCCCTGCCCTAGAAAAAAAAATTTATATTTAATTAAACCTTTCTAAAAATTCATAAGAATAGGGAAAAAACATTTTCTAAATTTTTCCCCTTTTTTTAAAAAAAATTTGGAATTTGTTTTAAAAATTGGAAAAAATATGTACATTTAAAACAAAATGCTCATTCAGCCTGGGAAAACGCGGGCCCCTTAAGTGGTAAAGGTTTGATTAACGAGTTTTTTTACATATTTTAAAACATAAACATTCACGATTTTTAATGTAAATGAAAAAAGAACAGCAAATCTTATAATTAAAAAAAAGGGCGTATTGATCAACATTTTCATTAATGATTACTGTCCAAAATCTAATCAGGAAAGAGAAGAAAAGACGAGATGGGGGACTAGGATGGACTTTTTTCGAAGACAGCTTCATGTTTTTGTATGAGGGTTTCATGGCCCAAACTTTTTTGAGGTTCAAGAAATTTCACTTTAATCCCCACCGATTGCCTCGGGGGGCGGACGCGATTAGGCCCTTCCTCTTTGCCAAAACCCTTTAAAATCTGCAATTCGTTTTCTAAAAGGGGTTTTTTCTTTTTGAGGGTTTTGAAAAGGCAAGCAAAAAAGGTTTTTGGACGGGGTATATAAGAATCCGTTAATCCTTTGGGAATTCGTTCTTCTCCGTATCGACGGGACTTATTTGTACTTACCCCCTGCTTATACCGTAGCAGACCGTAGTGTATCCCCTATGCGTCCGTCCTGATTTGTGTTTGCTCCGTATCCCCAAACCGTGTTCTCCGGGGACTTTTGGTGGTAAATCCGTCGGACTCCGTGCTCATACCGTTGTGTGTCCGTACTGGAACCGTAGCGGACTACGGAATTTCACATTTCCGTAGTAATCCGTGAACGATTAGACCGTAGCTCTTCCGTGGCATTATCCGTGAATATGTGACCGGGGCTTAAGAAACCAACCCTAAACATTTACCTAACTTTTATTAAGTACTGGCTAAAAATGAAGAATATTCCAGCCTCGATTACATGTATATAGCAAGAATTATCTTCCATTTCAAGACAGTTAATAAATTCTTCACAATGTGATGATGCCCAACTTGCAGTCACAGATTTGTAACCAAAAGTGTTTTACTAACTAAAAACATGGACATGCATATAAATATTTTTAAAAAAAGAAGAAGTTTTTTTATTGTTTTCCTTATTTTGCTGTAATATCTTAAACAATCCATTACCACAGTGCTTGATCACAGAGACATTGTACTTGTGTTTTTTACAATCTTTCAAAGCTAAAAACAAACATTTACCTCATATGCCTTCCATGCCTCGGTCATCGTGTTGACAAGAACGTCCGTGTCCAAATACTCCATAACTTCCTGTAATAACACAAATTACTTTTCTTTATCATAAATATTTATTCATTATTACTATTGCAAAATCCATCTGAGAAAAAAAACTTCTAGAATTTAAAATATTCTGTGCTAAAATGAAATACATGTAAAAAAGAACATTTGCACAAAAATATTAAACATAATACAAAACGAATTTTAACTGGCAGTTGTCTGATCCTGTAAAATCTAAATAAAAAATTGTTAACTTAAAACCAAAAGTTCTTTTGGCTAAAACTGATGATTATAAAAACAATTTTGAAGATTTATTGTAAGAGTGTCACATTTATCTTTTTTTAATGGGTATGGCCGGTTTTTAGCTAAAATTTGACCAGTTAGAAAAGTCAATAACCGATAACCAAGGTTAGTATTTGACAAAGAGGCAAAAAAAATTAATTGATTCTAAATATTACCTAGATTTTTTTATAACAAAATATAACAATTTGGTTGTATTTTAGTTGTCACTCAACAATTATTTTGAGTAATTTTAGTATGGTCCTAATGGAAAATACACTGTAGTTACTCGATATTTGGATAAGTATTGAAATCATTTTGAGTACAACAAAATACAAACAAAATGTCATATCATTCTTGCCATAATGAAGCAAAGTTAATGCTGAAAATCTAAGGACTTTATTGGTGTGGTTGATTAAATATTTAATACGGTTATTAAGTCGCCATTTAAACGGTTCGCATTTTTTTCTAACTGTGACACCCCTAATTTATTGTAACTCATGAATAACCAATACAGTTAAAATTGCATCTAAAATAAGGAACTAATTTTTAATATCAAAAGTGCAGGTATCAAATATGTGTTGAAGCATATAGGCACAACATCCATAAAAAAAGCAAACAATAATAAATTATGACCTTAAAGGGAATTTATGGTGCACTTGCCAATTTAATATACATACAGAAATCTATTTACAGTTTCATATATATATCATATGTAATACAACTTTATTTAGAGTGTGTAACACTCTTTCAAACATGGATTGTTTTCAAAGACAAATTACACTGGCATTTAAAGACATTATTAACATTATATTTTTCATCTATCTTAATAGAACATAAAAAATGCTGAGTCAGCATTATATAAATTTAGCAAAGTCAGCATTATAAATATCTATTGTGATGAAAAACTAGAACTCCGCGAGTCGGATGTGTCGCCTTGTGAACAATGTAGTTTAGGAGAAATGGCCAGGACAAAAATGAAAGGGCAATAACTAAAAAATAATAAGTGCAGAGCAGCAGTTTCTGTGCACTGCGCTTCTTATCAATAAGATCTATCATTCTATGATGTTTCAAGTCCATAGCTTTCATACTTGAGAAATGACCAGGACAAAAATAAAGTAAGAAAATCAACAAAGGGCAATAACTCAAAAAATAAGATCAAAAAATAAGAAATGCAGAGTATCAGTTCTTATGCACTGCACTTTTTCTTAATGAGATCTATCATCATATGAAGTTTCAAGTCCATAACTTTTATACTTTCGGAGAAATGGCCTGGACAAAAATTAAGTATGAAAATTAACAAAGGGCCATAACTCAAAAATTAAGAAATGTAGAGTACCGATTCTTGTGCACTGCACTTCTTCTTAATAAGATCTATCATCCTATGAAGTTTCAAGTCCATAGCTTTTATACTTAAGGAGAAATGGCCCGGACAAAATTAAAGTATGAAAATAAACAAAGGGCAATAACTAAAAAAATATGAAATGCACAGTACCTGTTCTTGTGCACTGCACTTCATCTTAATGAGACCTATCATCCTATGAAGTTTCAGGTCCATGGCTTTTATACATTAGGAGAAATGGCCCGGACAAAATAAAGTATGAAAATTAACAAAGGGCAATAACTCAAAAATTAGGAAGTGCAGAGTACCGGTTCTTGTGCACTGCACTTTTTCTTAATGAGATCTATCATCCTATGAAGTTTCAAGTCCATAGCTTTTTTAGTTGAAGAAAAATGGCCCGGACAAAATTAAAGTATGAAAATTAACAAAGGGCAATAACTCAAAAAATAAGAACTGCAGAGTACCAGTCCTTGTGCACTGCACTTCGGGTTATTGAAAGAAACATGCATACCAAGTTTGAAGTCAATCAGACTTATAGTGACTGAGTTATGCTCCGGACAAGCTTTAGGGGACGCCGACAACGACGCCGACAATGACACAGACGCCGCCGACGCCGCCGACGCCGCCGACAAAAGTAACCCCTATATGTCACCTTTTCAAGGCGACACAAAAACTATAGCAATAGAAAATTATTAAAATATAACATCATGCAAACAACTGGGGAAATAACAGTGGTAAATTATGTCTTATGAAATGTAAATAATGGTAATAAATATTGCTAGATTAATATAAATTATGTTTCTAAATCCATGGCCAAATAAAATAAAGGTTCAAAATGCTCATTATTTTTTGTTTTTTTTTCAATTATCATAATATTAAAGAGTATTCCAACCATAAATGAATTACATAATGTGACTATAAGAAACTATAAGAAATGTTGATATACGGAGAGTAACAACAAATAGTTTAAATAAAACCTTCAAGAAGTGATAAAACTTTTTTTTTTAAAAATTGCAACTACTATGGCATGTTATTAAAAGTGAAATGCATCTAAACAATGTTACCTATATATAATTATATATATGAGCCGCGTCATGACAAAACCAACATAATGGGTTTGCGACCAGCATGGATCCAGACCAGCCTGCGCATCCGCACAATCTGATCAGGATCCATGCTGTTCGCTATCAGTTTCTCTACTTGTTATAGGGTTTGTAAGCGGACAGCATGGATCCTGATCAGACTGCGCGGATGCGCAGGCTGGTCTGGATCCATGCTGGTCGCAAACCCATTATGTTGGTTTTGTCATGACACGGCTCATATATAAAACATAATATGATAAAACATGCTGGCAGACAACACGAGTACTTGACAATATTGGTTACTATACCAAATTTACCTTTGCTGAAATGCTATGCCGTTCCAATTTTTCAGAAATCTTTTGAGGAATAAAATAAAATGAATAGATGTATATTGCAACACTTTAATTGTATACAATGAAGTTATAGGTTAATCAAATGGTGAAACAGGAAAAGATTATTATATTTACAAGTATGATATTGCACATATTCAGGACTAAGAAAAAATCTAGGATTCATGAAAAAAAAAAATTTTAATAAAAGTATCTTTAACCTTTCTTGTAATAACCTTGACCTTTACTTGAACAATTGTGTTTTGGTGTTGGTAGTGTACCCTAAAGATTACAGCAATGAGCCTCTTTAAATTCACATGAGCACAGATCAGCCACCATATCGTTCCAGGGCAGGATGTCAAGTATACCAGTACTAGTTGCCTTCACTTTGGCAAGGAACTGATAACTTCTATACATGCCAGAACAGAATGTACAGTGCGAATGACCATAGAAAGGATTTCATGATTGATCACAATCGCAATGAAAGTGACCAGCACTGGGAATTAATGCTGACCGGACCCACATTTTCCCCCATTGAACATAGAAGAACTGAAAGTGTGTGTTATTATGCAATAAAATCACAGTTTGACGTTGTATATTTAGACATGTGACATAATCATTATACAATTGACGTTACCACTTAAAATGTGACACGCTGAAAATAAGTATGAAACAAATCAGGCGCAATTTAGGTTAATATCAGGTACTGCAGCATTTATTTGTTGATGTAGTGTTAGAATCGAAATAATATATCAAAATCGGTGATTTATTCGCTTTATAACATCACTGTCGTTCTGATGTGCATCATTATCTACGTCCTCGTAATATAATTCCTCGCATTCAAACTCCAAACAGTGATGTTATTGAGCGATAAAATCAATGTTTGGGATATATTATTTCGTAAATAACAAATTATCTGTGAGAGGAAATAGTATTGCCAACATTTCAAGAAATAGAAAAAGGTTGGTTTGCGACCAGCATGGATCCAGACCAGCCTGCGCATCCGCGCAGTCTGATCAGGATCCATGCTGTTCGCTATCAGTTTCTCTACTTGTAATAGAGATGGTAAGCGAACAGCTGGCTGGTCGCAAACCCACTATGTTGGTTTTGTCGTGACGCGGCTCAAATGGATTTATCTTATTCATACAGTTTCACTGCATCATTTGAATAAAATTTTTATACAGATCTATATAACATATCATAATACTGTTTAATAAAATCTGTTTAAATTTTATGTTTAATTTCATGCATGAATTATTTCTTAAAATGATAAAAAAATTTGTTCCTGTGAATTATTAAATCAAACAATCTAAGGTAGTATACACATCATATATATATCTTATCAGTGAATTTCATGTACATTGTAATGTAAAAAAAGTAAAAAATCTGTGGAATTAAACACACTCACACTGGGATTTTTTCATTAATTTATTGACAGGGTTCATACAGACATCCATTGCCAAATTTCAAGGACTTTTTAAGCACTATTTAAGCATGTTTTTCCATTTTTCAAGCACATTTGTTGCACATATATCGGCACAATCTTCAACCTAAGAAGGATAGTTTTTTCTGGCTACAATTTTAAGGATATTATAGAAGAACAACAAAGGGCCAATCAAATACATATTAGTTAACAACTGCAATTTGACCACCTACTGTTACCTTGAGCAAACATTTCATTGATTTTGATAATAAATTGAATCATCTTTTTTTATTTTGTTAACTGTTGATTATTAGCTACACTATGTCATTCAATCATTTTCAAGCACATTTTCAGCAAATTCAAGCACTTTTTAAGCACTTTTCAAGAGACTAATCAAATTCAAGGACTTTTAAGCACTTTTTTACATTTTTAAGCACTTTTTAAGAAAGGGACTCAAATTTAAGCACTTTTTAAGACTGTACGAACCCTGATTGATTAATCCGACAATAATTTATCAAAAATAGCTACCACACGTCGAAGTGATTTCTGGAAAGTATCATGATATTTTTGCATATATATATCAAGAAATATGTTTTTATTCTCAAATTAAACCATATAAATCAATTTCATTATAAGATATTAGAAAATCTAGCAAATGAATATTTTGATACAGTAAGTGCTCACGCTTGAATAACAAAAAAAAAAGGACAGTAAAACTTGATTTATGGACTAAAACTGACCAAATCATGACGATTTTAAACAAATAAACAAAGATAATTGCTAAGAAGTATCACAAAATTTAATACATAATTTCATTGAAAAATGTCCTATAGACATACAAAATGATATACTTAAGCTTGTTCTTTCTGATTCCAAAGTGGCATATATCTTTCAATTATCAAATGTATTACTTTAATAAAATACAAATAAAAAATAATTTCATAATTCAAAGTAAGGAGTATACTATTAATACTATATGATTAAATCAGCAACTTATATCATTTCCAAACAAAGCTATGGAAGAGATACCTGTCAAAAAGTTAAGACTTAAAATTTTCCATTCTGTCATAAGTAATGTATCCTATGAAATGAAAATTCAATACTTAGTGTAAATAAAAGCTTTTTGCATTCCAAAATAAACGAATTCATGCTATCATCATTGGTATTTAGTTACATTGAACTAGCAGCAAAATTGACTTGTCTATGTATAAAGTCAGATCATATGTATCAGGGCCTACATGTAGATCTATGTAGCTTCAATAGTTTCTTTACTATTGGCAGTTTAATTCTGACTTTCTAATTTCAAACCCTCACATTTGATGATTTGACAATTCCAAATTTAAAGTAGGCCAGGTCAGTTATAGAAATTAAACATGATAAAGATAAGATAAAAGGTAAATTTACCTTAGCCAAGTTGGCCTGATTCTCCTCATCCTCGGACTTTGGATTTTCTTCTGTCAAACATCGTACAAGTGTTCCTATAGCACTCTTCAATGAATATACCTACAAACATAACAAAACTTTTCATTTTACAAACATTTCAAAACTTCTCAATAATTCTGACATGTCCTATATCTAATTACAATCTTTCAGATAAAGTATCGTGAACTTTCCTATTATTAAAAATCTACTAGTTAATCGTAATAAATTACAGAAACTAACAAAAAGGCATCAGAAAACTAATGAGTCTCAGGTCAATATTGCCAAACAATATATGGGTTGAACACAGCTTTCATTATCACCCAGAAGCCAAATATAATATATGCGATTATTAATAAAACAAAATAACTGTAATGTAAACATATTGTACCGACCTCTTCATCCATACAGTCTTTGTAGACACCAACACGCAGTATGTGGTTGACATAATCACATACTTTGTTGTCAAACACAACTGCCTGGTTAGTAATGTTGCCCTGTAAGTATATAATTATAAAATGAGCCGCATCACCACAAAACCAACATAATGGGTTTGCGACCAGCATGGATCCATCCGCGCAGTCTGATCAGGATCCATGCTGTTCGCTATCAGTTTCTCTACATGGATCCTGATCAGACTGCAAGGATGCGCAGGCTGGTCTAGATCCATGCTGGTCGCAAACGTACTATGTTGGTTTTGTCGTGACGCGGCTCAAATAAGGAAAAATCTTAAACTATGTGTCACAATTGCCTCACATTTCATTCTCAGAGGGTTTATCTCCATCTGTTTAAAGTACGCCAGTGCTTCAACTTTTGCTTTAATTATCATTACGTAAGAAACAAAATGGAAGAGTTCATCAAATTTGTTAATAATGATAACACACAGGGAATTTTTGAAACAGGATTTTGGAATGATTTATAAGACAGGGTTGTCAATTTTAAGAAAAAATATATATTTACATGTAATGATACACAATCATAGAAATTGATTATCTTATGAAAGTAATACAAAATCTAACAAATCAGGCAAAATTAATCACTGATAACTTACTGAGGTGAACTCCACCAAGGTTTCAAACACCTGCGTGATAAGAGCAACAGAGTTGGCATTGATGTTGGAGTAAAGAATGTTCAAGAACTTGGTTGTCTCAGCCACAAGGTTCACAGATTTAATGTTGTCTGGTTGTTCTCGTAGATAGTTCTGAAAAATTAGAAAACAAAAGAAAAATTGAATACTTTTGCTCAGCATTTCTTTTTTTTTTATACATTTTTTTATCATAATTACTCAGCATTTTATTTTTTTTTTTAATCAAAATTTTCATCATAATTACTCAGCATTTTTTTCTGGTTTAAGAGCTCGACCCAGTGTGAGAAAAAATATCGACCTTCAATAATCTACCTGGATAATGCTTCCTCATACAACAGAGATCAACTTCCCTAGCATGCTTTAAACCAACTTAACTGTCCCTAAAAGTTAGTGATATTTGTCACTTGACCACAGACTTGTAAATTACTTGAGCCGTGCAATGACAAACCAACTTAGTGCATTTGCGACCAGCATGGATCAAGAGCAGCTTGCGCATCTGCTCAGTCTGATCAGGATCCATGCTGTTCGCTATCAGTTTCTCTACTTGAAATAGAGTTGGTAAGCGAACAGCATGGATCCTGATCAGACTGCGCGGATGCGCAGGCTGGTCTGGATCCATGCTGGTCGCAAACGCACTATGTTGGTTTTGTCCTGACGCGGCTCATTTTAATTTATTGGTATAATTAGCTTTCAAAATATGAGATACCTGAAGACCAAAATGTTGGTTGTCACACATGAGACCAAGAATTCTAAGCACAAGTTCAATGTACCCGTCGTCTTTAAACTCGAGCTCCGGCATGTCTCCGGCATCCGCCAACATTTGTTGAAACTCTTCATCATCTGCATTCTGTATAATAAATACTCAATTTTAAAATTTAAAGAAACAACGATAAATTTGTGTGTGTGTGTTTTGGGTCCATGAGAATGAAACCCCATTTATTGAAAAATCATACATACATATAAATATGGATAACATATGTGGAGAGTTTCAAATTTCAAGTACACATATATTCATATAATATGATTTTGAAAATTGAAGAGACTATATGAAATTACATTAGGATGACATTATAATACTATGGTTTTACATAATATTTGTAAATGATGATTTTTACGGCAAATATAATCCATGTTTTTAAATAGTCATTTGTTCTTATATCATATACATTTTCAAAAATCATGGGGAGTGTGTTATCATAATGAATCAAATGCAGCTTACAAAGTTTTACCTTATCAGATGCTTTCAGTTGCTATTTAGAAGTCAAATTACATCAACAACAAGGTGCAAAAACATCATTTGTACAATATACATGTAGACTGGTAACCCTATTGTGACACAGTTATAGGAGAGTTAACTGGCCTCTGATGATATTTTCAGACTTAAGTTCCAAGAACTGCAAGTTTAATCCATTGCTTTTATAGCTAAAATTATTAATCTTAAAGAGTTAGTCTGAGGATGAGCACTTTAAGCTGAAGTACTGTATCAATCATTATTGATATTACTGTCCTGAATAAAAACAGTCTCCAACCTCAGTTTGGAAACATAAACATCACATTATTTTGGGAAGTGTGGGGTGCGAGAATCTCATGTACCTGTTTCAATGCATGTCATTTAAAAAAAAAAATAGATTATGATAAATTAGTGACAAAAATTGAAAAAGGTAAAATACTTATACAACATACCTCTACCTCTATTTCTGGCACTACAGGTACAACCTTGTTGCCTGCCCTTGACCCACTGGCAAAACTTCCTCTACTGGCTTGCATCTTCTTCATTTCAAGACCATTAGGCATTTGACCAATCATTTTCT